ATGTTTTCAGAATCATTTTATTGATTTATCTTCTGCGTACCAGAATCCTTTTTGGTGCTGCTGACAACAATATGTAAATATTCCTTGCTCTCTGAATGTCAAACAGAAAATTTTGCGCACAACCGATTTCAGTTGTGGCTCGTTTGTGAGCAGCTGCATTCGATTACTTGCATGCTATGTTATTGAAATTTTGAACCATCTGCCAAATTAAACATCGTTCAAGACAGAAAATGTAAAAAAGGTTGGCAATGGCAGTAGGATTTTTGACACTTTACGGGCAATTCATCACTCACGTTTAGTAACAATCCAGTGCAAATATATTTTTGCATGCAGCTAGCGTGTTACGGAGGATTGGTAAAGTAAAATCTTTAGTTGTATGTCACAACAACGTTTTAAATTGCAAGCATTATCTGCTCTGAATTTAATTTCAATCTTAATCTTTGGCTAGGGCTTCAATCAAGTTTATTGCAGCTTTAATATTGTTTGGCTGCAATAAGTCTTTAGAAAAAATCGATCCATTAAATTCACGTCTGTTTTGATGGAAACAAAAGATCGCTTTTTGTCTGATGGTTTGAAAGCAGCAGTGTGCACTCAGGCGAACATTATTAGTCGCGATAAAATTCACACACCAAGCGCGCTGAGTTTGAGTTCACGCTCAACCGAGTCACTGCAAATTCAACTGAACACGGGAAAGCAATTTGTTTCCAAAATTTATGCAAGCTACGCCGAATTCGATTTCATCGTTTTAGTTGCATTAGAACGATCGACTGGGATGAGTACCGAAAAAGTTATTGCCAATCGAAGGATGGTGAATTGTAGAAAACTAAAACTCAAAAGCATTTGATTAAAAACCCGAAATACCGTTGAAGTATTAATAGCCCGAACACAGATAGCAGCAAGAGATTTATACAACTTAATAGTTATTGAAGCTATATGTGTTAAAATCACTGAGCCGTTTGCCATACGTCTTAATGGTGCACAATTTTTTGTATTTTCAATTGTACTGCGCTTAACCTGATACCAAGTAAAGAGACTGCACAGCTGCAATTGATTTTGCTATTTTGCACAAATTCAGATGAGTAAACCACAAATAAGTGTTTGTGTATAAGTTAGAAAGCAAATAATTGAATGGTGCATCCTGCGGCGTCAGCATTCTCAAACTGCTGGTTGGTATGACTTTACAGTCAAAGTAAATTTTGCATTAATGAAAAATAATGTACTATATTTATTATGTGTGGAAGCATGTAAATCGGGTGCAGATATCTGGACAACAACCGTGAGTACAATTCGCCAGTTGCTATAATGCTGACAACAGTATACCATGGCGGCGAGCTGCCTTAACTAGGCGGTTATACAAATTAAAGTAAACGCTTGTCATTTCTTCCTCTTTAGGTATGTCCTTGATGGGACATTTTCCGTGTTACACACCCTCCACCTTCAGTGATCGACGAGCTTTGTGCTTGTTCAGATTTTTCACTTAAACTGGAAATTGGACTTGAGCCGAGGGGTTGCCTTACCACTGCGCCACCGTGTGGTTATTGTGACAAGTGTTTCAGGTACGTTGGACAGCTCGAGGTCTCATCTGTGTTCTATCCACGGGGCCACCAAATGACTCACCTATCTGTGAAGGACAGTTGTGCCATGTACCAAACGGCCTAGTCTCAAGGACCGTAGGCCCACATAAACACCAATTTTAGCCGTCGCTTGGATTCACGAGTTCTTAAGCAGGACACCGTGTTTTTATGCCTCTCCCAGTTTAGGTACGCACCGGTACAACTTTATTTTCATGATTCAAGTGATCATTTAATAGAGTATAAACTCTATTTCTGTACCAGCAAGTAACTTTGGGTTGAACAATTTTGTATTTTCTCACTTCATCTTGCTTATCCAAGCGTGAAGCAATCTCGCACAGCATGATTTGCAAAATTCAACTTAAATCTGCTTTTTATGAGCATCACCAACTTTCGTTTGCCACTATTATTAACCATACTACAAGCATGACTTCTGAAGTTATTTGTTAGAATGCCCTTTATCTATGTTTCTACATATGTTGTTAACTGCTTCCGTTGCAAACCAAACCACGTTCTTTGAATGTTGTTTGCTTGGTATTAAATTGTGTTACAGAAATAACGTCTACCCGTAAGTCTGTTCTGATTAAAACGACCTTCTTAACTTGGTGTTGTTACCATAGGTGAAATAGATTGTCCATGGACACCAGATTCGTGCCACTTCCTTTATATCTTATATCAATCTAGTTTGTGTTATTGTTAAAATTTATGTATATTACAGATGATATTATTCTGGCTCAACGACAAGCTTAGAAGAAACATACAAAGAATAAAACCAAGGTTTCCTGCCCCGACTTAAAATTCGACTGAATTTAAGACATTAATGCATTGCAATTAACTTAGTTTGTGTTACGAATTTGGCAAATGATTTAAGTATGCCAGCTATAAATTGATGATTGTTTTATTTATCAGTGTGAGACAACGACAGCAGCTTCTCACTAGTATACCAAGTGAATTTCGGGTATATATTTTTTGATCGGTATTACTGCAGCCTAGGAATTTCTATTTGGCTTCAACATATTCTTCTTGTTTTAAAACATAACGATAGCAGGCTAGTTCGTTTTTCTTGTTTATCTTGACTAGTTATTTACCCTAGTAGCGAATACGGATAATTCAAGTCACCATTTTTGTGATATAATGCTTGTTCCCTGGAGTATGTCGGATTAATTTCTTTTACAAATATATTTTTAATTTTAAGTAAAGTGCCTCAAGCTTATATGCTTTAAATGGAAAGACTAGTCCTTCATGAAGTCTTAATATCTATACTTACCACTTATTTGGTTAATAATTATATGAAAGCGCATGTCATTATGGCGTTTTGCACCTTACGTGTCAACTCTAAGGTAATAAAGGTTTGTCAACAAAATGTAAGTAAAGTAGCAAATTGCTTTGTCCCCAGTATGAAACGGCGGATGTCTGTGTTAGATAACATGTCAAGAGCTTGTGCAAATTGTCCGCTAATTACTAAGCTTTCTAAGCTGTTACGATTGAATCAAATGAATTTCGCTGGGCGTAGAAATAGCATTTCGATACATTTGTATACTTACTCATAAAATGTCCTCATGTAAAACTAACCTACTTAGTCATTTCAATTAAAAGCAACTATTTGGCGATTTAATTCTTCTCAACGTTTTAAGAAAGCCTAAAATGTAAATCTTTGGTTTATATCCTATTGCTTGCCAATTGATTTTGGCCAAGCATACCAGTCACCATGCGACGGCAACAGGATTTAAAAGTTGTAAATACTTGACGTTTACTAAAGCATTTTTAACATAACCAATGGAACTTGGTTTATCGCATAACTTCGCACTTTGCTCACCTTTGCTCAAACCTTACGCTACCTCCTTTTACATGCCCTGTGAGTAACAAAATGTCCATCGAACTTTCAGCCAAACTGAAGGTAGGAAGCGAGTGCTTTAATCAGTTAAGGTACAGGGATACAAAATCTGGATTGCGGATGATCTCTCATCTTTAAATTAGTAGAGCGGTTAGCTATAACGCCCGCAAATCCGCTTTTATTGTCCCCTTACATAACTGAAAACTGTATTGTATTTTTCTTACTCTTTAACATAGGAAGAATTAAACGCCTATTATTCTGGACAAAAGTATACACTAAATCACAATTATTAAGTTAGCAAAAATAAGCCACCGATGACACACCGATAAAACTTTATAACGGTATAAAAGAAGAGAACAACTGATTATACTTGACTTTACTCTTTGGTGGCAAATGGTTATAGGTTGCGGCTAACCGCTGCTCACTAATCAAATATTAAGGGACCTTGGAGTGTTGACAATAAATTCAGGATCAACGTTTCCCTGTAATCCTCTGACAAAGTTAACGATATACAAGCGAGTCAAATTAGTGTCACAATCTTAGATGATCATAAAGTGCCGTGAAGAAAAGGCACTTTGTAACAGACCCGTCGAAGAATTTTTGCTTCTCTTTCACTCTACATAACCGACGTCAATTTCTCGTGATTTATTGAGCTAAACGATGTAAACTTGCAGTTAACGCCCATTTGATGCCATGGTTGCCATGGCTTACTGCGTTTCTGATAGCTGCGCTACCACTGCAATTCACGATTAAATATGACCTAGTTTGAGGAGGAAACTTTGCAGTGCTGTTATCATATCGAATGACTTTTTTATTACAAAAGCAATATTCAAGTTTTTGGGTAACCAGCATGTTTTATGCTTGAAATGTTTAACCGTAAATATAATTTCTGTTGCAAACATTACTTGTAAATTTCGTTTTAAAGAAGAAATGGATGCTTATGAAATCGAAATATAATATTTTAGATTATAAATAACAACTTGTGTAATTAAACCTAAAGTTTGGTGGTGTAATTACTTCCGTTGCTGTGTCCTACACTACAGCAAATCTGGCTTTAAAGCGCTTTCGGTTTTCATTGAATGATTTAGCTATACATCTTGAACCGAGTCAAGAATCCACGTAGCTATTGAGATCAATATAGGCGTACATAGACAATGTATCCCTGCTCACCTAGTCCTTAGTAACCCATCTAATGTAATTTGACAACTTTAAAGAATAAATATGTATACACTTATAAAATTATTTAAGCAAACGGATTAATTTCAGCCGACTTTCATTTTGAATGTCAAATACTGAAATATCTCTTCGACCAATTTGCTGATATGGTCAAATTTACTTCAGCTTTTGCTTATTATCTGATACCTTTGAATTCAAATCGAAACGAACGTTTTCTCTATAAATACTCGTTTTTAACTAATGGCCCTGGAAAACAACCAATATTACTTATCAGTTCGTTCAATCATTGTCTACTTAAATGAGCACCTAGGATAGCAAATGACATAATCACTCTGAGTTAAAAATGTGAAAAAGCCATTTTTCTTTTTCACTTTTGTACCAAGGATGAGAAGGGCGAAAACGCATGTGGCAATACTCACCAGATGTTCGGTCTCTAATTAATTTGCAGCTTGAAATATTTCCAACTGTTGAAAATAATGAACGCATCTCTTCCTGTGACATAGATGGAGGCAAATAGTTGACAATAAGATTTGTCTGATTCGCATCGGTCTCCAAATCATTTTCATCACAAATTTTTTTGAATGATGTTGTCCTTTCTGCTCTCACGGAGGTATTCGAGTTGGAAACTGTATCTTTATGAACTGTCTCCTTATGTTTCTCCAGAAGATGTGCTGCATCAATGCTGTCAATATCCGATTCGCCATTGGTAATGCATGGCTGCACATGGGCTGCCATATAATGGTATATTATCTTTCCGAATACCTGCAATTATGAACAATAATGGGCAATAAATTAGTTCCATAAAATCGGTAAACTTCTGAAGCTTAAACTGCTTAACAAAATGCCCCAGGTGCAACTATAATACAAAAGAACACTGTCCACCCACATACCTGAGGCATTCATAGATAGGTCAGTTGCTTTTATTATGCGGTTTTCAAGCGTGGTTAAGTCATTTCACTATATTGTTAACGGTCGTTTTTTCCTATATACAGATTAAAATTTTTACCACACAGCTAATGCGAAAAACGATGTGGGCTTCTCAACAGGAATACGTTAATAACACAACTTGTCAGCCATTATTCTAAAGATATCGTAGCAGTTGTCACGTTTGTCCGGGCAACAACGTAAATCAAGATCTAGAAACAACATTACGTTGCTTGGTTTTATATTGCTTTGAGTTTACATGGTTGAAGTAATAGCACCTACATAAATTAGTTTTCAAAGACAAGTGGTTAAGATTTATGTCAAAAATTATTGATTTGCGAGACTATTTATTCACTGCATATCAGTTTTCTATACTGTGATCTGATAGCTCATAAAAATATAGATATATGTAAACGATTAATAGGCTAGATGAGTTGTGAGTTTAAACAGAGAAAAAGCTAATGGAGAAATCTGCTAGATATTACTGCTATATATGAATTTTTATTTTGATGCATTGTACGGTGAGTACTACGCGGTAATTCATCTTTCTGGCGTGCTATGTTTTTGAGTTATTAAGGTGAAATTTCGTAGGAGATAAGTGTTTGAGTAGACACATTTGAAGAAATTTGACGACAGTTAACTTTCTTATTTGGAATAAATGACATCCAATTGTGTAGACTGTGGGAAGAGTGTCACCTCACGTTCAGTGACCATCCAAAGCGCATTCTGCGGCAAATGGATGCATATAGTTTGCTGTATCTTTGATAATGATCCTTACCAATTTCTTCGGTGCACTACCACTGAAGGCGTCAACTTTCACTGCGATTCGTGTCTAACATTGCTCAGCGACAAGCAACTCCTAACGAACCCTTTCAACGTACATACTGCTTCCGCGCAAACCATCTCTAACTCGGACGGCGAGACACCTATGTCTTCAATGTGTCTGCCCTCGTCTGGGTATTCTCTACCGAAAGGTAAACGAGGCCAGGCGTCCTCCAACACGTTGCACTTAACACCGTTGCCCAGTGAGAACGGGAATGGGTTGACGCATAAGCCAAAGTCCTATTGCGCCGTCGCGTGGGCTAGCACCTCAGCAAAACCGAGGAAAACCATAGCTAAGAACAAATCCTGGAAGATCTCCTCACAGCCTAAGATAAAAGCAAACGCCAAAAAGGCGGAACTATAGCTCTTTCTAAATAGAGTAGCGCAGCTTCAGGAACTGGTCAGAGAAAAGAAACGCCCACCAAAGCCAGCATCATCAGAAAGAGACAAGCCGCCTGCTTGCAACCGCTGCCTTATAATCACAAATGTCACAGAATCAAAGAGACTCCAGCTGAAAGGATGCTCGACGACCAAGCCTTTCTTAAACGAATGAACTTCATGTTCCTTGATGAGGAAGAGCAACGGATAAACCCAATCTCTGCTTTCGGACTTGGCAGAAAACAAGAGGACCCAGCCATATTTCGTCCTCTGAAAATCGTCTATCAGGATGAAGAAGAATGCCAACGCATCCTGAGACGAACCCCAGGCCTCAATGGAGAAATTTTCTACGTTCTGAAATACTTCTCCCTGGAGAGCTGAGTCCAAATGAGGCAAGCTGTCTGCGAGCTGCGAACCTGACGAGCAAATGGAGAAACAGAGCTACACATAGTGGATTTTCGCGTAGTCAAAAAATTCTAAAAGATCGATGGAGGCCAATTCTTCTTCTTCCAGGAACTCAAACATAAAGGTCGGACTACGGGTAATACTTGCGCATGTGCACAGTCTAAAAACAGGCCAGATAAAATTCCACTTCTTATCTCTGAACAGCAATCGGACCTAATGTTGTTCACCGAAACCTGGCAGTCATCTGACATATCTGACTTGGAGGTTCTCGTTTCAGGATAACAGCTACTTCGATGCGATCGCTTTGGTGGGAGGTATGGAGGCGGAGTAATCCTCTACACAAAGAACTGCCTCAAGACCCACATTGGCAAACCCGGTTGTAGCAAGGTTGATATGTAAGAAATGCAATGTAATAAATGTAATGACAGATACCAATCGCTGATGGTCGGAGTGGTGTACATAGTCCCTGCAGGACACGACTCACACCTACAGTAAAGGAAGAAAATGTCACCTTATGGGTGAGTTCAACGCCCACGACATAATCTGGAACCTTCTTTACAGTGATCTCCCACCTTACTCCTTCGAAGTTGATCTCTTTGAATCCGTTCACGAGTGCAACCTGACACAGCATGTCTTGACAACAACACGGATGGTCGCTGCTCAAACACCAAACATTATCGACCTGTTTCTCACCTCGGCCTCATCTGATATCTCTGATCTAACGATCTTCTAACCTCTTGGGAAGAGTGATTATCAAACCGTATCATTTTCGTGGACATGAATTCTCATAATGCACAATCAGAGGACACTGTGCCGAAATGTTGGCACACTGACCAGCCCAGATTAAGAACGGCTGCAAGTAACATCGACTGGAGTATTTCGCAATCCTTGGAGCTTGATGATGCATAGAAATGCCTACGATCTGTGATGATGAGAATTATTAAACAGTCTGTTTCAAACTGCAAGAGCAGACCACCATCCGAAGGACCCCCATGGATTGATAAAGAAGGAAGCTTCCTAATGAAAAACGACGGACACTATGGGACCATTTCAAAAGCACAGGACTGACTTCAAGCTACTAAGAGTACAAAACTGTCAGCAACCTATGTACCCTGGGAAAAGGAGACAAAAGACTACAATATGAACATGGACTAGCCATGGAATCCTAAAAATGTCCCAAGAAACTTTTTGCCTACTTCAAGCGAATTGCCGAAACAGGTAGTGGAATCCCGCTCTGTCATCTGCTAAGGAAAGTACCGTTCTCTACGGCTATGATGGAAAAGCAACCTATTGGTTGCGCAATATTCCTCGGTGTACTCATTAGCGTCTCCACTGTTAAACAACTGCTTGCCTGCACACTACTTTTCTATGAACCAAGTTGAAATTAACCCGGTAGTAGTCACTAAGCTACTCATGGAACTGGACCCAAACCCGTTCGCTGGCCCGGACGGATTGAATCCCAGCTTCCTCAAAACGACAGCTGAGTACGTCCCTGTCCCTCTCTCTCAAGTGTTTCTACACTCTTGAAGTCGGCTGCCTACCCACAGGCTGGAATGCAGGTACCTTTCTGCCTAAACACAAGGGGGAAACCAAAAAGATCCAACGAGCTACAAGCCTCTATGCCTGACTTCAGTCGTATACAAAACCATGGAACGAATAGTCAAGTGCGCCCTCCAGCTACACTATGTGAATATAAACCTCAACTCACCTGCTCAACATGGCTTCCGGAGAGCACGCTCATGCACCATTAACTTACTCATCGCCAAGGAAAAATTGTCAGAAGCCAAAGATGCACAAAAACATCTTGACGTAATATTCATTGATTTCGTCAAAGCCTTTGATAAGGTTCCGCACGAATGACGGCTACACAAACTCCAGGGAATTGGCATTAGAGGAAATCTCTCCTGGACTGTCCATTTCTTAAGAGGTAGGACAATGCGCGTACATGTGAATCAAAACCTCTCTGCTCAAGTGCCTAGGAATAGTGGCATTCCCCAAGGATCAGTGTTTGGACCAGAGCTCTTCAAACTGTACATTAAAAATCTGCCGACTTCACTTCAAAACGACTGCTTGATCTACCCCGATGATCTCAAGCTTTGGTCAACACTATCCAACCTTGAGGATGCAGACAGATTACAAGGGGCTCTAGACCAGCCACACGAATGGTCTATCAAGTTGGAACTGCCAGCAAACCGAGATAAATGCGCCGTTCTCCAAATAGGTAGCACTGAACCTTACGGTGCATACCACCTTGGTGGGTTTCTCCTCAGGAATACCACTCACGAAAAGGATCTCGTGGTTATTGTGACTTGTGCTTTTAGAACGACGCAGCACACGTTGAAGATGGTGGCTACTGGAAAGAGACTGGTGGGTGCCTAAGGAAGATCATTCGCTTGAATGACTCCTGAGATTTTTCGACCTTTGTTCACTTCGTACGTCCGACCAGTCTTAGACTATGACCTACCAACTATCCGTCCGCTTTCAAAGTTTGAATGAGCTCTGCTGGAGAAATTTCAGAGACGTGCATAGAAAGCTGTCCTGGGGCTTCGTGATCTCCCGTACCCCATTCGACTCCAGCAGCTAAATCTGTTCTCCCTCGAGCTCCGCCGTCACCGGGGTGATCTCACCTACACTAAGCGCATCCTCCAAGGGGAACTTGAAAGTGAGTTACAACAATGCTTCCGTCCCAACACTGACTGTTCCACACAATGTCACACATGGATACTATTTAAGCAAACAAGGCACAGAATTCGCATGGACGTCAACCTATCCAATTGATTGGTGTATGATTGGAACTGCGTACTTAAAACAATTGCAGAGACGCCATACGAGGAAAGTTTTAAGCGGCTGCTAGACAAACATTCACTGAGAATGCTGGAATCTTGCGACTGTCACTGCAGTTGCGACGAGCCCTCGAGGAAGGTGGTAATGCAACGACACTCGTCAAACCCAGTATGATACGGAAACGAGGGAGCTGACAAGAGATTTCCCTCCTGCTCTCTACAACTCAATAAACTCAATTATCCCAATCCTATTGTTGGGATGAATTTTGTACCATGGTTCAGCTAGTACTTAGCGAATAAAAACGTATTTTAAAAGAAGGTTTTATATTAATATACATTTTATATTTTAGACTGTGGTGTCGTATATTATTTGTCCTAGCAGAGCGAAGTCACATTACATTCAAACATAATTTGAAGTCTGTTATTCTTTTGCGAGACGAAAGTCTTCTT